AAAGCTTCTGAGTTGTACTTCAGAATGGGAAGTCCTCTGACTAAATTTAATTTATTTAGTTGAGATATTTTTCTAAGACTGGCATGTCCCAATCTTCTGTGCCATACCCATTACTCATCGCTAACAAACAAAATGCATTTAACGTTCTGAGATTTAAGATATGATAAATCAATTTTGTAAATGTTGTTCTTTCTCTTTCCAGAAAAGAGGATTGATCCATCTTTTTGACTTACAACTCTACAAGAGTTTTGATTGAAGATAATGTCATAACCATTGTCACTTAATTGACTTATGGATAATAGATTATGAGCTAATCCTTCTACTAATAAAACATTAGAGATAGAAGGAAGGTTACCGTTTCCAATGGTTCCAGAACCAATAATCTTCCCTTTCTGATTACCTTCAAACTTCACGTCTCCTCCAACTTTAAGTTCCAGGCTTTGGAACGTAGACATTTTTCCCGTCACGTGTCGTGAGCACCCAGAGTCCAGGTACCATGACAAGTGTCTCAATTGAGCTGTTAAGGACATCTGCAACAAATATTATTTTATCCTTGGGTACCCATATCTTTTTGGGTCCTTTTGGGTTAGCATAAGAGTTTCCAGAATGTGATGTATATTTTATATCATGTGAGTGTCCAAACTTGAATTGTTTATTCAGAGGTTTGTAAGTAAAAGTCATTTTAGCAACATGTTTTGGTATGTATGTCTCCTTCCCTTTGGGAGGTTCATATCCAATTCCTCTTCTGTTTTTCCCACTAACTCCATAGATCATTGAAGCCATTTTGCTTCTATCTATGCTTTTAGCTAGGAAAGTTTGAAAACTATAGTCATATTCTTTCAGAATATCTTTTGAACTATACACAGATTCTGAACTAGAAATTTTTTGAACATTTTGAATTTTTTCTTTAAGTTTAAAATTATTTTCTAAGAGTTCAGATTTTTCTGCTTCATGTTTCTCAATATCAGATGCAAGACTCTTCTTGAGTTTCTTGTATTTGATTTTGAGTTTACTATAGTTTTCCAGAAGTTCTGATAAACTATCAGCAAGTTCATTTCTAGTGAATTCAGAAAATACCTCTCTTTGTTCTGACTCACTGTCTGAGTCATCTGCTGTGATAGCCATCAGAGCTAGGTTGACATTTTCATCTTCAGAACCAGATTCATCTTCAGAAGAATCTGAGTCATCCCAGGTTGCCATCATCCCTTTCTTCTTACCAAACCTATTCTTTGGTTTTTCTTTTTGAAGCTTTGGACAATCACTTTTATAGTGACCAGGTTCTTTGCATTCATAACAGATGATCTCTCTTCTGTTTGACTTTTTGTGTCCAGAAGATTCAGGTTTATCTCCTGACTTCTTGAAGTTCCTGAACTTCTTTTGTCTGTGCTTCCACAGATGATTGATCCTTCTGGAGAGCAAGGATAGTTCATCTTCTTCTGACGCTGATTCTTCAGAGTTTTCCTCTTCAGCCTGAAAAGCGTTAGTATCAAATTTTTTAATTGACTTAAGGGCAAGAGACTTACCTTTCTTCTGAGGCTCGTGCTCATCCAGTTCAATCTCATGACTTCTGAGAGCGCTGATGAGTTCCTCCAAAGACACGTTGTTCAGATCTTTTGAAACTTTGAAAGCAGTGACCATTGGTGCCCATCTTCTGGGTAAGCTTCTGATGATCTTTTTCACATGATCTGCTTTGGTATATCCCTTGTTCAAAACTCTCAGACCAGCGATCAGAGTTTAAAACCTAAAGAACATTGCTTCTATAGACTCGCTTTATTCAACTTTGAAGGCTTCATACTTCTGAACTAAAGCCAGAGCTTTAGACTCCTTAACATGAGTGTTTCCTTCATGAGTCATTTTAAGAGACTCAAACATATCATGCGATGTATCTCTATTAGTGATTTTTTCATATTCTACTTTAGAGATAGCATTTAGAAAAATATTTCTAGCTCTATGATGATTTTTAAATTCAACTTTTTGTAGTCTATCCATATTTTTTCTGTCAACTTTGTTTCCTTCTGAGTCAGTAGGATGTGTGTAACCATCCAGGACTATATCCCATAGATCACTATAATGACCTAGAAAGAAACTTTCTAGTCTGTCTTTCCAGTACTCAAAATCTTCTCCATCAAAAACAGGAGGTTTGTTGTAACTATTGTTGTTTTGTTCAGCAGCCATTGTGTTTTCTTCTGGATCTTTTCCTGACACGGTTAAATGTTGTGCTCAGAGTCAAGCTCTGATACCAATTGAAGGGGTAAGAAAACACTTAGAAGGGGGTTGAATAAGTGACTCTTTTTGTTTTCAAAACAAAGCTCAACAATAATGGAATGACAAGGTTATTTTTATCCTGGTTCATTTGAACTCAAACTACTCCAGTCCACCCGTCAAGGTGATTTCGCCTTTCCCAACAAGGACTTAATCCACTATAATCAACTGATTACAAATACACAACAACTGTTGTGACTAACAATACACAAGTAATCTTACAAGTGACTAACACCACTAAGACTTAAATATAGTCCTAGTCTTCTTGAGAAATCTGACCAAACTTGGTCTCTCAAGGAACAATTACAAGAGTTTAATCTTTACAGATAGTGAAATAAAATTTGCTTCTAATCAAGCTATATCACAATTGTGATTTTTCACTTAGAATAAATTGCACAAAGTGTATGAACAAAGAGTTTGTGAGCCCATAATTTTTCACGTAGTTTCTTGCCTTTTTTTTTTAAATATGATTCGTTAGTTGGCTTGCAATAAATGTCCTTCTATATATAGTAAGAACAAAATGACCGTTGCTGCCTTCAGAAAAGTGGAGAGCATTAAATGCTTGCATGTTTCTTTGCACTATTCCATTTTCCAAGAAACTAGCTTAGACACTTGAGTGCTTGCAGCCGTATTTGCATTAATGAGCAAACGACAACTTGTAAGAACATGTTTCCTTCACTTGACAAGACAAGTTGGCTTTAACGTTCATTCAGAACTTGCTTCAACGTCTTTTATTCAGAACATGCTTTACACATCTTCTAGGCAGTGCTTTGCTTGCTAAGAACTTGATCAGCACTTGCTTTCAAGTAATCTTCTGAGCAAGGAAACCTGCTAAATGTTAGAAGATATATTTAAATAAATTGTCTTACCAGAGTCAGCAGATGTGCTTAAAACAAAAAGGTTCTTTCATTAAAGAACTTCTTCATATAATTTTTAGCTTTGCATATCAGAATGCTTCTGTCAGAACATTATCTGAAACATTCAAATACATTCGTCAGAGTATAAATTATCTAAAATATAGTTTATTGTTATCATCAAAACTCTGAGATAGATCAGAACTAATCTTGTTCTAACAACCCCCCTTATTACTTCACAACACCACAAATTAAGCCCAATATCATATTTAAGCTTAATAATAAAATAATACTTCAACTTAATTCCACCAAATAAAATCTGATTATTTATCATGCCACTAAATAAAATAATTCCGACTTCGACGATAAAAATTCGAATTAATATAAAATATTCAAAAAAATATTTAATTAAATAAATAATTAAATATCGGGGCGTTATAAAACCCTAGTCAAATTCCAGACATATTCAGGTGTTAGGAGTGAGGCGCCTCTGGGAGTCCCATACCCAAGAAGGGTAAGGAACCAAGTAAGAGGGTGAAGACATGTCCGTATGCCACACCCTTAACACCATGGGTTGAAGATTCACTAACGGCGGAAAGACTAGTTCTGCCCACAAAAGTTACACACGCCAAATTCTAACCATTGAGGGCTCTCCCACGAGCCTTGACTCTAACGAGAAGGGAACACTGAAATATGAAATTACTTTCTCTGATAAGGACGCAAGAGGCATCCATCTGCATGGCAATGACCGATGTCCATAACCATAATGTGTAATGACTGGAAGATTAAAAAATTGTTGATTGATCAAGGAATATCTACAGGCATCCTTTATAGGGACGCTTTCAAAAGACTTCACTTAGATTTGGACGACCTCAAATCTTTCCAAGGCTCGTTGGTAGGAATCTCATGCGGACAAGTGCATGTAAATGGATCTATTACCTTGAAGACCATGTTTGAAGTTGAGGATAACACAAGACTAATCAAGTTACGATATCTTGTTATAGATGCACCTTCTTCACATAACATGATTATAGGAGGACCTACTTTAAACTAGCTTGGAGTCTCCCTATCCATACTATAGATGTACATGAAATACCCACTCTCAAATAGGCGATTTGGGTTTATCCAATGAGAGCAGATGATCACAATGAAATGTTACTTGGAGGGAGTGAAGTTGAAAAGGACTAGTTATGGAACATGCCCAGTAACCAGACAGATAGGAAGTGAACATTTTAAACTTGAAGCTACGAGTTTAACCGCAAGAGATAGATATTGAAGACAAAGATTTCACATCCCTACTCCAATGAAACAAGGTGTAAAAATAAAAAACAAGTCAAAAACTATTTGTCACACCCTAAATTTCGCTCTGACCTTTCATGTGTTTCATTTACATTTTTGCATCGATTCATTGACATCATAGTCAATTTTAACTTTGTTTTGAACATATATATATATTTTTTTTTGCATACATAAATGTTTTCTTAAGTCAAGGCATAGACTTTTGTTTTGCATTTTTTTTTTAATTTCTTTTTTCAAGATATTTGAATTAGCATTTATAATTAAAAAATTTGTGTAAATGTCCACTTTAAAATCCAAACATCTAACTCCATGATAATTGCATTATTTTCTTGGACAGATCACGTTTTGTTCCATGCCGTTTTCCGTTTTCCGGTATACGCGCACATCACGCCACTCATCACCGTTCGTCTCTCGCCTATGATATTTACCTGCAAAACAAAAACCAGTACAGAAACACAAAATAGAATTTCAAAAAACTAGACAAAATCGTACAGCCATCACCCCCACGATTTCCACTCTCTCCACTACTAACAAATTTGATTCCTTCATATCCTAAATCCTTCCTCAAATCCAGCTCATACATCCTTATCCATAATTCATACCCCCTTTGTAAATCCTCCTATAAAACAAACTCAGTAATTCATTCACTCTAAGCAGAGAGCACACACACTCAAAAACCACAAATCCGCAGAAATTGAGAAGAGCATAGCAATCATTTTCATGTAATTTTTTTGATTTACTCGTTGTTATTTTCTTCTTGATTTCTGTATTGTAATATGTAATCCAAAGCATAGTGAATTGGGGTTTTAGGGTTTTTGATATGTGATATTTTGTTTGTGTTGATCGCGAAATCGATGAATTGATGAGATGAGTAAGAACAGAGGAAAACGCGTGAAAGAGGGACGGATCCATGCTTCATTTTTTTTAGAAGAGGAATGGACTATAACAAAAAGAGGCGTGTTGCTCTTTTAGGGTTTTCATAACCCGGTCGATATAAGAGGTAACCCGGTTCGTACTCCACTCCAGTTTTTTCTTATATTATTATTTTTCTGGTTAAGCATTGGGCCTTCACATTGCGCACACCTCCCTGCGGATTTTCACCTTCCCTGGCCCATCATCATTTTTTAATCTTCTTTTATTTAATTCTTTGCTTATTTTTTAAGTTTTGTTTAAAGAATAAGGTTTAGATTTTTCTATTATAAAAAATCAGAAAAAATATTTATTTGTTTTATTTTACTTTAAAATATTTTCAATAATATTTCTCTTTTAAGTTTTTAGAAATAAGTTTTTTTTTCTCATGTTAATTGTTGAATTGTTCTTAGTTAACCTGTACATTTGTAAGGACTATTAATTGATTCATATTATAAATATGTATCTCACTCTCCAAGTGATGTAATAGCTAGTTAATTATTTCATTGTTTGATTTTATTTAATTGTTCATCACTCGCACAAACCATTTCAAAGAAACTAATACTCGTCCGAACCATTTTCATACCTTGAGTCAACCAAACTTTTAAGTGTCGCAACAACCACACATAGTGCACACACCACGCTTCCCCTTTGGACTTACAAATGAAACTTTAGTTGATTAATTAAACTTCATTCTAATTATCTAATTAGGCTATTTAAAATAGATTAGTCTATCTACAATTTTTCTTAATCTAATTACTTAATTCAACCTTGGTTTGATTAATCGATTAAATTTATTTTGTGCACCTTAGTTTAGTTCTTCATGTGTTTGTGTATTTATGTTTATTATTTTGCTTTCTTGTTTTTTATCATTATCTTGTATATCATATTTTATCTAATGTTGTGATGTTGGGTATTCTATGGGTGACACATTGCTATGTGCGAGACTCATTATGCAGGTCTGAGAAAAATATTTGGATTAGAAGGGTGTTGTGTAATATTTAGACGTACAAGATACTTGTCTTATGGGTCGGTACAAAGACCCTGCCTAGAGTAGATTTCGTTGGGGATGTTATTGGCTTACACACATGTTCTGTCATTAACGTTGTTCAAAGGGATCATTGAGTCTAGTTGTCTTTTAGGAACCCTTAACCATGATGGATATTTGAAGGAGAATCTCTTTGATATGTTGTCACCTTGCAAGTCTATTGTGATTGATGACAATATTTCTGAGGTGAGGATCAATCATCCAAAACTCTTAGAGATAACCTTGTGAGGGGGTTATTGGGTAAAAATTCCTCGATCTATCCTACCATAATGAGCCCACCTAGTTAGGTTATTTTGTTATCCAATTACCAATACCAATCATGTTTCACGTCGCTGTGAATTTGTTACTATCTTTGTGTTGCATTCCATTGTATATGTGACATCTCATTTCATGAACATCATTTATTGCATTTAAAAACCAAAAAAATTCATGCATTTGCATTGCATCATCATGCATTTTACTATCAAAGTACTCATACCTAATCTTTCGTTCATTCAATTAATAAGGCAAGCTGATTTCCCGACATCTGAAGAAAGATGGATAACTTCGTACAAGAACATGCGAAGAAATGTCAATGAGCTCCAAAGATTCATGCCCAAGCTCATGAAGATGCTTCACCAATCCCATGCCCTGATCAGTGCCAAGCCAATAAATCAGATGGGATAGCTCATCCTTGCAGTTTATGGTTAAGCCATGACCACTTCAAGATTCATTCAACATCATTTGGTCAAGAAATTTTCAAAATTAATGCATGTTTTCAAGCTTGGTAAAAAATAGGTTCATGTTTTTATTTACATGCCTTCTTCACCATTTTTCTCAAGATTTTGTCAAGATTAATCAAAGGTCTATCAAAGATACATCATTTAAGGTTCATATGATTACCATTGTGCCTTAGAATGCAAAGAAATTTCAAAGAACTCAAGTTGGTACAAGGTGTTTTGACCTAAAAATCAAGTTGGTACAAGCTTATCGTGCCTTACAACTCTCAAACCGATTCCACCATTTTCAAGTTTTGAAGCTCGGTTTGGAAAGGTAGATACGACTTTATTTCTCACTCAAACAAGTTACCAGTCTCTTCGTCTTGTTCTTCTGATTATAAGCCCTAACCTTACTGGAATTTATTGTTGTTGTTTGTTATTTAATTTTACTTTGAAACTCTTAGGGTTTTTACATGTTTCTGCAAATTCTCCTTGCTCAGATCAAATAAATTGATCTTGAGCAAGGAGACATGAACGATGAAGTATGATTAAGCTTACATGATGTGTGTTTAAGATTAAAATTACAGTTCATGATGTTTCTAAATCGAGGGTTTCAGAGGTAGAAGATGAAGATCTTCACACACGTTGGTGGGAAATTCAAAGCCCTGAGCTAACCAGATCGCGTCACATCTGCTAGTCGTTAACATCTTTTATTTCTTTTAAATTTTATTTTTATTTCATTTTCTTTAAAAATTAATTAAAAATACCTCGCTTATTATTTTTCAATTCAATTTTTTTTTCATAATTTCATAAAAATATTTTCTACCTTATGTGATTTTCTCAGATTTTTAAAATGATTTTTTAGCATTTTTGCTATTTTGTTTTGTTTTCTATTTTAATTTGTTTCAAATAATTTTTTCTTGTTGATTTTGAAATATTTTGGATCCAATCTTTTGAGATCTTGATTCTTGTAGTTTTCTTGATCTTTCATAATTTTTCTTAAATATATATCGGATGGTTTGATGTTTCATTTGAACTTTCCTTTTATTTTTCTTTTAAAACCCTACATTGCTATTGCCCGTCCTCAGATAGGTACAACTTCTATATAAATTGACTTACGATTGCTTAACATAGCACTAAATTTATCCCGCATCAAATTATTAACTACTAACATTAATTCAATATTAATTTTACTAACTTTATATTTCCACACCTTTACATTAATGTCATTTAAATATTTGCCCTTTACATTAATGCAATTTAATTTCAAGCACTTTACATTTCATGTCATTTACTTTTATGTCATTTATTTTATTCCTTTTCCTTTTTTCCATTGGGATTTTATTTTTATTTTCATCAAAAGACATTAATAAAGGAAATACCCTAAAAAACTTGGCTCTGATTTTTTGAACTATTCGTTACTATCATTCGCTTGAGGAGTTTTGGACTTTGGACCTAGGATTTAGAACCTTTCTTTTGCATGGAATGAATTCATATGAGATCTTAGAATTTCATCTGGTACATTATGAATTCATCTGAGACCTTGTGACTCATCCGGACCTCTGAACTTCAAATCAAGACTTATCGCTTTGATGATCTTGGAATTTCATATGATACATTATGCTTCATTTGTTAATTTGGACTTCATCTGATACTTTAAAATTCATTTGCTTGTGTTTTTTATTCTCTGTTATGCTTGAATTGTGGCTTAATCCAAAGGGAAAGGAATGCTTATTTTAAACAATGTCAAATGTTTTCTCTTCTTCTAGTTACTTCACATGCACACACAAAGGTTTTCTCTTGGGCTACCTTACAATGAGACTATTTATTTCTTGTCATTTTTTATGCTTTAGGATAATCTCTTAATCTCCCACCTTATTTAATTTTCAAAATATTCTCCCTATTTCAAAACTTATTATTTTTAAACTTCATATCTTTTCTTAACAAACCTTGGCTTTTGTCAAGTGATCCAAAAAATATTTTAATAAATGCTAAAATACTTAAGCATATACAAACTCTTTCAAAACTCCTAAAAAGGATAAAATCTCATCAAACTTCTTGTTGTGCCTTAGTGCACTTTTCTTTTCAAACTAAACCCTTTTTCAGAAAGAAATGACATAAGTATATTCTCAAAGTGATGCAAATTCCTATACTTATACGATATGCTTAGAAATTGACAGACATTTTCCACTTGAATGTTTAGACATACTTGTTGAGTAAATCCAAGCAAAATTCTCCATATCAATATGATGCAAATGCTCATTTCCTCATATTTATGAGTAGTAAGTAGAGTTTTCCACTCGAATATGATAAAATGTCTTTTTCACCTAAAATCAAACAATAAAAAAGAACACATTTCATAAGCAAATGCAAGTGGTTCCTATGGAGTACCATAGATGTGAGGGGTGCTAATACATACCCCTTGCATAACCAACCCTTGTACCTAAATCTCTCTTTTGTTTTGGTTTTCAAAATTTTTTGTGGGTTTTTTTCCAACCTTTTCCATTTAGAAACAATAAAGTTCGATGACGACTCTTGCTTTTTCTGAGTTAAGTTAATTAATGGCTTAATCTCAATTTTACCGCTGCGACAATAAGATGAGAGAACCTCTTTTGCATTTCGTCAATGGTTTGACCATGCTTCATGTAAAATAGTTCAAACTCTTGATTTAGTGTATTAATTCTAGCTTGATTGACTTTATTATTTCCCTCATGGGCAACTTGTAATGTGTCTCACATAGCTTTAGCGATTTCACAAAAGGAAACACGATAAAATTCATTAACACCAAGAACGAATATGAGAATATTTTGTGCTTTCCAATCGTAACCCCATTTTTTATCATCAATATTCCATTGTGCTTCCGATTTAGGTATGACAACACCATTAGCACCAGTCACGATAATAAGAGTTGGACCGTTGATAATAGCGTCCCATATACCCTTATCATATGGATTGATATGAATACGCATACAAGCTTTCCAATAGACATAATTTTCACTGGTGAATACAGTCGCTTTATTGTATGTCCCTTTAGGTTCGGTAGCCATTATCTAATAAGCGTTTTTTGAAGCACGAAATAAATCATAGCTCTTGATACCACTAGTTAGATCAAGGTGTTAGACAAATGTGACGTATCTAGAGAGGGGGTGAATAGATACCCAATTTAAAAACTCTAGAACATTCTAGTTTTGAAAAAATTATTTAACAAAAAGTTTAAGCGGAAGCTTTTCAAAATAAGTCGTCTATACAAACATTTATTGGAAACTCAGATATATAAATATATTATAAATTTCAAATGGAATGAGTATGATAAACTGAATTATTTGGACTTTAAACAAGTAACACGTTATCAATCGTTTCTAGCAAATTACTAGAAATTCTATTTCCAATGGAAATATTTAAAAGAACAAATAAAATATCAATTTGTCGAACACTTGGTGTACTATTGAATTTTCATAATTTTCTTTAAGTTGCGTTGATACACAAAAGCACTTATAATCAAAAGTGATTATAAGCAATATTAACACTTAATGTAAACCAAAAACAGTCTGGAAAATTTCTTACAATTCAATTGATAACGCAATGCTATTAGACAACTTGATTAATGAAATTTAAAGCAAGTAAAAGTGATAAGAAAAGAGACACGAGGATTTGTATTCACAATTCTCCAAGTTCATCCTCGCGTGTGGGTACTTCTGTGCCTAATTTTAATTGAATTAGGATAATTCTTACTATACAAAAAAGTAGATACAAGAGAAGTGTTTAAGAGCAACTCCAAAAACCAAATGCTTGTTGTTGATTCAACCTCTTCTCCTCTTTTGATCTTGAGAAAGACCAAGACACAGTAGATCCCAATTGAGTTGTCGATATTGCTACTCCTTTGCATTCTTTGTCTCCAAAGCTTTCACAAATGAATGATCAAATTGTATCTATTGCAACATAAGACTTCAATTGTAATTCATCTCTCTCTCCTCTCTCTCTCTCTCTCTCTCTCTCTCTCTCTCTCTCTCCTCTCTCTCTCCTCTCTCTCTCTCTCTCTCTCTCTCTCTCTCTCTCTCTCTCTCTCTCTCTCTCTCTCTCTCTCTCTCTCTCTCTCTCTACTTTCTTTGCGTTCTTTATCTCCAAAGTATCACTTGCATTCTTTATCTTCAAAGGGCTTCACTTGGCCGCAATTACCTCTTGAATGTCTTACACAAAAACCCCTAAATTAATCAATGATCTTGGAGGAGAAACCAACGGTTTTTCCGGATGAAGACCCCTATAAATATCAACCCAATATTCTCGGCTACACAAGAACCTAATCAGACATTATCAAACCTCGTCTAGATGACACCCTAATAGAAGATATTACAATGTAATGTCAGTGTGTATGCATAGATTGGAGGTTGAAGATGAAGAGCAAATGTAGGCTAATTTTATGATGTCATCAAGTTGTAAATGATGCATGAATGATGTATTTTTAGTTGTGCAAATTTATGTGTAAAAAGGAGTTTTTCGGAATTAAAAAGAATTGAAAATTTGACTTGAGCAAACAACATGTGTCAACTTAAAAAAGGTATGTGTCGACACATGCTTTAAATTTCAGTTGTATGTGTCGACCTGAAGGTTGAATGTGTCGACCAAAATAAGTCAGTGGCTACATGCTTTAAAATGATAATGAATGTGTTGACTTGAAGATTGTATGTGTCGACACATAAAATAAATTTTTCTGTAATTTCAGAAAAGTTTCAGTATGTGTCGACCTGTATGATGCATGTGTAGACCTAACCAAGTGACATGCTAAATGCTTATTTACTGAGTTGCATGTGTCGACCTGAAATGCATATGTGTTGACACATGCAATTCAATTTTATGCAAAAACACCTTTTTAATGCATGAGACTATTTTTAATATGATTCCAAAATATCCAGAGACTTCTAAATGATTGGGATGCCATACTAAACTCAGAGATAACGTCCAATAGATGAA